GCACATTCGGATGCATTATATACGGTCTTTACTTTTGTCCCCAACCCACACCCTCAATTTATTTTATGAAATACACATTGACTACATTGGAATTTCACAGTGTTCTCAGTCTCCATCCAGCTTAAAACAGGTATTGATAATTAGTGGCCCAGACGGTCAGTTGAGCTATGTGCAGTGCTGAAGGTGAGCACTGCACATGGTCCTTTAAATCACTGTGGCTGAGCGATCATGCTCAAGACGCTGATTCAGAGTCTGCCCCTACTATGAGGAAGCCCCTTAGGGTCTGAAAAGACCCTGGTGAGGTCTCCCTGCATGCCCTCTGCTCAGTGCTGGCTTTTGGCCAGCTGCCTAGTACCAATCACAGTTTAAGGAGCTGCAGCATGAAAGGAAGAACTCTAAGAACAATATAGTGTGCTTACAATGTTATGATATTTGCACTGATGTCAGTGGAGGAAATTCCTCAAGCAATAAGATAAGGGCGTGGGAGAAAGGTATACACACGGGGCATCATTGTATTAGAAAAAGGTAAAATATAGATTCAGTGGGACATGAGTCACTGAGTTGTGTGCTTGGTGCAGCAAGGGAGGGTAGGTGCATAGAACCCTAACACAAAACAAAAACACTTACATGGGTGCCCAAAATATACATAGGTAGGAGAACACGTTATAAATTAATGTCACATCCCATCATTATAGGACACCAAGGCAGTGTGAGGGGAAGTCTTGGTACACATAGCATGCTGGTGATAGATTTCACATTTGTTCCAGGCTGGCTGTGGGAACAATGGCCTAGTCAAATCACTTAAATATTCATGGTGCTTGGACGTTAAAACACTATAGTGTCAGGAATACAAATCGTTTTAAGATCAGTCTGCTGGCCCCTCTCCTGCCTTTAAAAATGTGAGATTGCTCACATTTTCTCTCGTTTCTGCAGGGGGGTCTCCAAGTGGCTGGCCCAGCCCAACTTCTTGTTCTGATGGCTATAATGTCCCTTTAACATTTATCAGTCACAGTGCCTCTAGTGGCTGTAAACTAGACAGCCACGAGAGGCACTTCAGGAGAAAATTGTAAATTTAAAAAGTCTTCACAGCCAGCATCAGGAAGTATTATAACTGTTAAAGGGACACTAAAGGAACCCACTTAAACTCAAGGAAGTGACCTGGGTGCAATGTCCCTGTTTTAACCATGGAGTGTAAAACATTGACATTCTGCTTCAGTTTCAATACCTCTAGTGGCTGTCACTGGAAGCCACTAGAAGTGTTTTTGCAGAAAAAGTCGAGCTTAACTAGTGCAGAGACCATTGATTTGACGGAGAATCCAGGGCTTGACAAATATGCTTTAAATCTAGGAGCCAAAAAAAAAACAAAAAACTTTCAAAGCTTTATTTTAAAATGACAAAAAAGCAATTCTTTACCTCCAAATGAATTCGACCTCCCCAACAGACGCACTTTCGTACACAAAAAAACATGGGAAAGGGACATGGGCCCGCCAGAGGACCCCTAGGACTAGACAGATATTGGAGGCCACGGCCTCGCTCACCATCTGTGTAAACCACAAGGAGCAGGCCTATAAAACAATGTTAAGGTGGTACCTAACACCGCTGAGACAGAAACAGATGGGATTCTCGGACTCAGACGCATGCTGGAAGGGATGTGGGGCCCAGGGCACATACATTCACCAATGGTGGGAACGCCCCCAAATCTCCCAACTGTGGTCTGCTGTGGCCGACCTCATCTCCAGACTCCTACATGTGGACATCCCACTGGACCCTTGGATCTGGCTGCTCTCCAAATGACATCCCTTCTTATTCAGAGCACAAAACAAACTGGTAGCGAAAATTGCACTGGCCGCTAGGCGAACCATCGCAGAACAATGGGGCAACCAAACCACACCATCACTAGAAACTTTGACCCGCAAGATCACAGAAGCTATGGAGACGGATAAACTCTCCGCCCTACTCCACGACAATCCACAACTTCCACAAAATCTGGGACCCCTGGTTCCTAGACCGACTAACACAACTGAGAAGGAACTTGGAGATAAAATACCACCCACCCGACATCAGATAGACCCAAGCTCTAGATCAAAATCAACCCAACTGCCCAAACACCCGCCACTCCTCGCCCCCCCCAAGCCATACACCCCCCTCTCTAAGGCCCTCCCCCCCCCGCCTCCACACGTACTCAAATACAGACCCAAACAGAAACCCAACACCTGCCCCAGGAGGCGAAACTATGGGACAAGATCCCCCATCGAACCACAACCATAAAAGCAACACTCCCACACACGAAATAAGTATATCCTGAGGCGACTGACGCCCGAACAGCACACGCTGACGGACGGGGACGTACCACGGCTCCCCTCAGAGCAGCCCACCTACCCGGGACAATAAAGACAGGAAGCGCCCAGAATCCCAACTCCCCACTGCACCAACCCTCTTACCCCACCCAGACCTGACCACCTCAGGGCCCCATCGACCCCACAAACTCGTCAACTTTCACAATCCCAAAATTCCGGACAGACATTACCCCCCAAAGGACGAAGAGCGAAGAAACCACTAAAGGCCCTGAAAGGGTCACCACATACCTACTCAAACCTGATGAAACGCCACTACTTAGACCTGACAAAATGCCGATTCCCAAATGTATCGCCAAACAGTTAAACACACACTCTCATGCATTTTGTTTGTTACCCACCCCCGCTTTCTACCCTACATTCCACCTTCATCGAAGATGGAACCGAGAACAAAGGATTTACGATAAAAACTACATCCCCACCCTCCACTCCCTCCCTCTTACACCCCCTCCCACAAATATTACATAGACTGATATAAATGAAGTATTTATGTGATCAAAGCAACAACACTATGAAAACACATGTTGTAACCACCAAAGCAATGTTTACATAACTGTTTAAACCATACGATCTCATTTAACATTATGTACGTTATGCGAAGAATGTATCAACCCGAGACCCCCAACGCTCCTTTCTGTACCCCCTACATTTTTCAAAATAAAGAATTTATCAAAAAAACAAAAAAAACACACACAATTCTTAGTTGAGGCAGGGCCAGTTGTAGCAAGACCGACAGTGTGAAACAAAACAAAAACAAATAAAGACCTCTTCCCCAGGAGAATGGAAGGGGCAGTCACCTAAATAGCCACATTTTCTTACAGACTACCTTTGGGAGAACTGGAGTGAATCCTTTCCCTGAAGTCCAGTGGAGCTGCTGTGATCATGTAATCTTAAAGGTCTTCTTTCTCTGCTCCCCCACGCATCGCTTTGTGATGCCAGGGTGACGTCATATTCCCGGCATCACTGGAGCGTGCGAGGGAGAAGCACAATATTACAGTGCCCTAGCCACCGCCTCCATTTTCCCCATAGCTAACCACCTTGGCTAAACGGCCTGACAAACAGCCAAGCACCAGGACACAATTCTTGGTCACCATGGTGACCTGGGATTTTTCAAGCCCAGACAATCTCATTCAATGATTTCAAAGATCACGGTATCATTGAATAGGTACATAAACTCTTCACTTAACTGACTAATACAAATGTGTATTCTTAACACTGTAGTATTTCTAACACCATAAGGTTACTTCAATTACAATTTAATTCAGCTTTATCCTATCCAGCTTCAGAAGTACGATGCTCTCTTCAGCAATCTATAAATAGAATGCAAAGAGTTAACAGTTTTGCAGAGGCAGTGTGGGAAATTCATACATTGGTGGACATTACAGAAAAGTGCACACACACACACTATTCCACAGTACAATGATCTTTTAAGGCAACAATTCCAACTACTTTGCCATGAATGAAAGGGCATTCATTTACCTGTGCTGACGAATCTTCAGGAAGACTCTGCCGAATTTCAAACTCCAGCTTTTGCTCAATGTAATCCAAGTCAGATTCAGCTTTTTGAAACTGAAATGAAAGATTTGTGTCAAAAATGCACACAATAGAAAGCTCAGGAAAACATCAACCTGAATAAAAAAAAAATGGAAATAACTGCATTTTAAATCAGTAGTACATGTAGTCATTAACATGATGCATATATTTTTTTATTTTTTTTTAATGTTCTTTATGTGAAATAGAATCCATAGGCCTAGATCCCAATTAGTCTTCCAATTCTGTTTAGTTTCAACACTCCAGTAGAAGCTTGCGGTTTAAAGCTGTGTGCTCTGCTACCAGATGCTTTGACAATACTATTGCACTGCTAGCTGTAGAGTACAGTAGTGCAATAAAGTCAGAGCACTTTATAGCAGAAAAACCAGCAGATGTAAACAGTAGAGTTCAGACAGTAGAGGGTATCCAGTCAATAGAAAGCAGCACATTAGAAGTGTAGTTCAGGTCACTGGCCAATGCCCTTTTAACATTGCACTGCTTTCTGTGTGTGGTCACTAGTAGTACAACATAAAAAGGGCTCTGGACTAGTTTGTCTTTAAAAGTGGTACTAGACAAGAAATCCTTAGATGGCAAACGTGAATAGACTGTAAACTTTATCATGTCTCTGCTTAGTTTTCCACATTAAAAAAAATATATAAATAAAAACACTCAGGTTTTAAAGATATTGTAGCAGAGTCCCAAATGTTTAAATACTGTTATTTTTAAACCTCAAAGTTAAT